TTGTTTATGTGTCTTTTCATTTCTGGCAGGGAGGGGGGATGCTCTTGGTACCTGCATGGCTCACCTCCTCTGCACTGGGTGTGGTGGTACCCATCTTCCCACTTTTAGTCTCTTCTAAGCCCTTTGCTTTTTCTGTCCACTTTTGCCTTTTGTTTTATGAAGTTGGGGAAATACTGAGCTTCCTGAGGGCAAGCTGCCGAGATTGTTCTTAGCCTCCACATCAGGACATTACCCAGCGATGGCAATGGTTTTGTGAACAGACCAAGGGACTGGCTGAATGAATGGTTGTTTCTGTCTGGCCCTGAGTCACACCTTCCGGGAGCTGTGTCTTCTGCAAGTTCACCCTATATCCCCATTCTCTTTAATTTTGGTGCAAGGGGCTAGCGGACCTCTTCCCTGTCCTGGGGTGGGCAGCAGTATGGCCCAGCAGTGAGGATGGAGAGGACTTATGAGTCAGGGTACAAAGTTACTTCTAAACTACATTAGTGAAGCTTCCAAATAGTGTGCTCACCATGACCTCTGAAGTTCTAGCCGTGGGGCCAGTTGTTGAGAAAAGGAAATATGAATAAACACACTGCATAGCATCCTCGTACCTGGAAACATGGGAGGAAGTACCCATACTGTATTCTTTTTTCACATGACTTGTTGGGCGTGTTGCTTCAAGTTATGAGACATTATACATGAAAAGGTCTTAGAAGGTTGAAGAACATATTCTTTGAGACTGACATCCTATTATCAAATGAGTTTCTCTGCACAGTCTCTCATGTACAGGGTTTGGCCTCTTTCTCATGCTCCATGCTTAGGAACTTTCCCTTTCAGAGTGCATCAAGTTATAGGTAAATTTCCCTCTAGCTTTAATGTATTTGTTTTTTGGCATCCTTGCTATGTCTGCATTGTGTTCCTTCTCTACTGTGTTGTAACAAATTACCACAAATTTAGCAGCTTAAAGCAATACCCACTTATTAGCTGGTAGTGCTATAACTCAGAAGATTGTCTACAGCTCACCTAGACTGTCTGCTCAGGATCTCAAATGCAGAAATCAGGGACCAGCTATACTGAGTTCTTATCTGGAACTGCTGTAAATGAATCTCCTTTGTTTGTGAGTCATTTGTGTTGTTGGCAGAATTCAATTCCTACCTGTTGTTAGGTGGGGTCCCCTTTTCTTTGCTCTGTGACAACTGAGAGCCATACTCCGCCCCTAGGGGTCACCTACATTCCTTGGTGTGCAACCTCTGGGCTGTCTGCAAACAAAGAATTCCTTCCACATCAATCCTGCCAACATTTCCACTCTCGTTACTACCTGTCTCTGATCTCTAGGCCCAGATTTAAAGGGCTCGTGTGATTAGGTCAGGCCCCCCAGATTATCTCTCCTTTGACTAATTCAGAGTTACCAGTTCAAAGCAACCTGGCTTACATCTGCAGAATCCCTTTTGCCAGATCACAGAATCCTCAGAGAAGTGATATTTCATTGTATTCATCGGAACCACCCATACTCAAAGGAAGATCAGACAAAGGTGGGGGACACTGGGCATTACCTTAGAATTCTACCTACCATATTGCTTTCCAAAAACACAGGAGGATGGAGAAACAGTTCTTTGCCTCAAAGAGCCATTCCTCAAGGGTAGGGGACTCAGCTACCCAATTTTTGAACAATGTGTGACTTGAGACTCAGTCAGTGAACATGTAGTGTTTTTCCACGTTGGTCACTCATCGTGTCTGGGTTATAAAGTAAAGCTGGGCATGCCCAAGACCTTCAGTATTAGTTTTTCTGTAGTCCTGATCCATCTGCCTTCTGATTACTGACAGTTCATTGGAATCTGATGTCAGATTATTTTTCAGACCCAGGTTTCAATATTGTTGAGGAGTTTCATATTTGTCTTTGTATTTAAGGAGAAGTCAACATTTTTATTCAAGCTTATTGGCCAGATGTCATGTTAAATTGAAGCCTCTCGTGTTTGAATGTTGACCTTTGGTTATTCATGGTATTATGTGATCATCATTCAATATTCACTATGATTGTTCTTTATTTTGACCTGAATTGGAAGCAGAACTCCAATAAGAACCATTCATAACTTTTTCTTTTTTTTTTTTTCCTCATACTGGGGATTGAACTCAAGACCTTGCGCTTACAAGGCAGGCATGGTACCACTGAGCTAAATCCCCAGCCCCATCCATAACTTTTAATGTGTTGTCTGGACTCATAGAGTAAGGTCCAGTCCTTCCTGTACTTCCTCCATTTTCCCTCCATGCCTCTCTCTACTCTACCACATAAACACCTTCGGATACAAGATCCTGGTGCTGAGCTGTAGTTCTTGTTTGAGTGCCTGCCTAGCATGTAGAGGCACTGGGTTCAATTCCCAGCACCAAAAGGGGTTGAGGGGAGGGATGGGAAGGAAATAAAGAAAACTCAAAACCTCACACTCCATGACAGTGCGTATTTGGTCCAATTTCCAATTTCCATTTCCACACTAAAAATATGTAGTTTTGAATATTCTATGCCAATCAGGAAATGCCAGAAACACCTTAAGATTATATTGCATTTATTATCATCTGTTTGGGTTCAGTTTGGGGGAAAGGTTAAAAATCCATATAAACTCCAGCAAAATGGGCATGGACCATGATGAGTCTAGAACATTGTTCTTTCTTAAATAGAGAGGCCTCTTGTTTGAGTGTTTCATGGGCTCCTAGAGTTTTAAAAAGAAACAGGATATGTTTCACTTTTAATAATGCACACTTGCTGTTAAGGTATGAGGTCAAGAAGAGCCTGGATCATGCTCAAGAGTATGTGTGGGCTCAAACAGTAGACTCTTGGGCTGGGGATTTAGCTCAGTGGTTTCACTGCCTGCTGTGCAAGCGCAAGGACCTGAGTTCAATTCCTGGTATCAAACAGTAGACTCTTGGTCTGTTGAAGTGTTTCGCAGCCCTTGAAAAGTCTTTTTGGATCTAAACAGAGACTCACAGGCATGTGCATTTCATAGGGAGAACAAAGCAGGTTCACTCTGTTTACACATCTGCCAGTCATCCTTTTAATCTCAGTCAAATTATCTCCTTAATCTTGTTGGAGTTTTTAATGTCATCTTTTTGAAATAGCAAATCACTTTATTAGATTTATAAAAGAATATTCCTAATGTCATTTCCATAAGCCATTTTGCAAATTAATGTAATTTCCTTTCTGTTTAACCTGTTTGCAAGCAGCTCTTTTACATTTCTTTGTAATTCAGATGAACACAGTTAATTCATAATTTCATTTGCAGCTCGATATGTAAAATGAATACTTTTGACTCATTGAAATTACTGTAGCTACTAAAGCAGCATGTATTACGAGATGCATAAGTGTATGTTGCTTTCATTCTCCAGCTCTGGGATCTCGACACAGGCCGGACTTGGTGCCTAGCACTCCATCACTGTTTGAAGCTGCTTCCTTGGCAACCACTATTTCATCTTCTTCCTTATATGTCAGTGAACATTGCCCACAAGACAGGACAACACTGTATTCAAACAGGTAACCCTTAGCAAGTACAATTTCCCAGCTGGGCTGTTACTGTGTCAACAGCAGGCCTAATAAAGCAGTGTCTCCGACTCTCTCTGGCAACCAGGATATGCCTAATCCCTGCCTCAAAAGTAAGAGAGAAAAGACATGCTTGATTTGTGCTATGGTGAAGTGCTTTTACAAGAAAGCCCTTCTTTACAGGTAATCATTTGTGATGTAGAAAATATACATTTGGATCTATGGGAGAAGATGAATCTTGCGCTGTTTCCTCTTAGTAATTTCTTAGTGAATTTTTTAAGCAAGCTGTCTTGGTAAATATTACACAGATGGTTACAAAGATGTTTACAGATTCTGTTTTGTTTGTGTGACCTTAGTGACTGTAGTAAACAGAATAATGGCTCCCATAATTCTCCATTTCCTAATTCCTGGAACTTGTGAATATATTACCATACATGGCTGAAAAAAACTTTGCAGATATGATTAAGAATCCTGGGGCTA